TATATATATATATATATCTTTTTCAGAAGAATAAGAAAACAAAAGTGAATGTGAGTGTCAATTGAAAAGGAACAGAATTTATAACACTTAAATATGTGTCCCCCCCACAATATTCATTCATGTAATAATATTGTATGTTGTTTTGTGTGTGTTGTTGTTTTTTTTCAACTGTGCTCTATGTTTGTCTACCACAGAAAAGTAATTTTAGTGACTTAGCCTTGTAGTAATTGTGTATTTAAATCTTCATAAATTATAATTGACATAAAGCTTATTAATGTTTTGTTTTTTAACTTAATCATGAAACATTAGTTCTGTTATACTTAGAGCTAGTATTTTTTACACTTTTGACCATGTTAATTATACACCATGAAACATAATATTGTGTATTCTTTGAATAGTTTTAAAATACAAAATTAGACATTTTGTGGTGGAAGTATTACCACAAGTTATTTTACATTTGTTTCTCTGACTGTGCAACACTCGTAAAATAATCTAATGCTCTAATTAAAAACTTCTAATGACGTTGTGATGTTAAAAAACATAAATTTTGATTTTTAGCAATTCATCTTGTATAATACAAAAATTTGACATTCATATATTAAAAAGTGTAATTAGCCTTATATATGCATTCTATACATTTAGCCTCAGGGAAAAATGTTGTACAAAAACAAGCTTAGAGTTAAATACTTAATAAAGATTACACTATTTTGATAAAATCTCTTTCTGTTGACTAGTCAAAAAACAAAAAACTTTTGGATCCCATTTTCATCTTATTTTATCATTCTTTCTTTATATGCAGTAACTTTTAGTAGAATAACATCCAGGCTTTTTTGTGTGTGTGTGTGTGTGTGTGGTGTAACTCTTCTCCATGAGTATTGAATAGACCAAAATCAAATTATTATATTACAGAGTAAGTAAAGACAAATCTTATTGTATATTTATAATTTCACTCAAAAAGAACACTTGTATTCACGTACCAGTTTGTATGAGCAAATTGAAAGGTACAAATGTATATGTATGTACCTTTAAGAGAGTATTTCCTACATTTTATTTTTGACAATTTCATAGAAAGTACCTAATGAAGAAGACACATTTTTGTAATTTTTTTAACAAGTTCTGAAAGTTACTAAATTTTGATATCATATTTTTACCCTATTTTACAGAATAATTACATTTGATATAATTTTTTTTGCATGTACATATTTTAACATCAAAAAGGAAATTTAGAATGATTACATTTTCATAATTTTGTGGAGGTATTTCAAAGTAACTCCTTTTGTTGTGTTATTCAAAGTGAAAATTTGTTCCCTGATTCTCATTTTATCTTTTATGAATAAAAAATTTAGATTGAATGTTTTTTGAAACAAATTTAAACTCTGCAGTTCATAATTTCAAAATGTAACAAAATGAAGTTGTACCTTGTCATATTACTTCAAACTGTGTTAAAAGATACAAGTATGAAAACTTTGTAAATGGTCATACAAAATCAGTTTAATTTATATCAAAAAGTCTTCATGATTTATGAGGCATAAGGTACAAATGATTTTAGTTTTGTTTTTTTGTTGAAGTGATGTAATTCTGACATATAAAAGATGTAATTTTGTAAATACATGTGTTATATATGTTCAATTTAAGATGGTAACTTCTAAAATGTAGAATGAATGACATTTTCTGGCTATGAACTGTGGGTCATTTATGTAAAATTGTATTTTTATATAGGTTGTAACTGTTTGAATAAATATTATATAGAGGGCGTTTAGTGTAAAGTCATTCAAAATTAGCTTGGGTGGTAGGATGCTCCTGACTGGCTGCTTTCCCTCTAGTCAGTGGTTCAAAATTAGGGATAGTGGCAGATAGCCTTAGCAGCTTTGCTATAAATACAAAATATTTGTGTACTATGCAGTACTTTGATTTAAAGCCTTAATTTTAAATAATAATAAGAGAATCACAAGTAACCTTAGGTTATTGTTATTATTTTATGTTATGATACTTTTAAAGAACATGAGTTCTAAGAACAATGTATGGTTCAGGCAGAATGGACACACATGAATAATAGAATTTTGAAATGTCTTGAAGTTATAAATTGAAAACAAGTCAAACTAAAAGCAAGTTATGAGCTTGTTTTAAATGTTCTTGTGATTGAAGTTATTTTGTGTATGATATATATATATATATATATATATATATATATATTCCTTCCTTTGATTCTGTTTAATTTCAGTATATGCATTAAATCAGGGTATTCTAATGACAAGTGGAACATTTTTAGTGAAGTCATCATGTTTGTATATTTATGCAGATATATGATTGTAATACAGATATGTACATATACACTGTTTTAATGGTATATTTGTTGTGAAAAATCACATTTAAATGTAATTGTGTATGTGCATAGTGATTATATGAAGTTTCTTTAAGTGTTGAGTATGATTAATTATAATTAGCACCACAGTACGACTAAACAACTGATAAGAGTGAAATAACATTATGCATTTTGTTGCAAAGAGGTGTTAAGAAGAATGAACAAAGTTGGGTGTATTTTCCACAAACTGTTGCTACCTATTTAAGGAAGTTTTAAGAAGAGTGAACAAAGTTGGTATTTTCCATAGACTGTT